GGCCATAGCTGCTCCCCGCTTCGGCAAGATCGACTTTACAGTGTACATGCCAACTGCTGGCACTTACTCCAGAGGTCATCAAGCAGCCCTGACCCCTCCCCCTGTCCCTCCTTCTCTCTCTCCCTCTCTCTCTCCTCTCTCTCTCTCTCTCCTGTCCCCTGAGGGCTCTGTGCTAGATGTCTTTCCTCCCGTCTCACATTCCCTCCTTGCACTTTTGTTCAGCCCTAACCACAGCAACCCGCTGGGAACAGGTGTAGCCCAGCAGCACGTTGCCTTAGCCGTACCTCGTTTCCACCTGTGGGGCTTCCCAGCTGGCCCTCCGTGGGGTCCCCACAGAGCACTCGGCCATCCTAGCACCTGTGCACACCTGGAGGCGCCAGGCAAGAAATGCTCCTGGGGCACCCCCCACCCGCCCCCCAACCGGGGGAGTGAGCGCCGGTGCACGCAGGGTTCCCTCTCTGGGCCTCGCTGGGCAGTGGGGAGGTGCACTTGCCCCACAGTGGCCAGGCGAATGACGCACAGTTGCCTTGGCTTTAGCTTGTCCCCAGGTTGCTCTGCCCAGACCCCTTCTCACGTTCCCTTCTATCACTTCCTAAAATAAGCCACCTGCGTGCAAGAGTGAGCGCCGGTGCACGCAGGGTTCCCTCTCTGGGCAGTGGGAGGTGCACTTGCCCCACGGTGGCCAGGTGAATGACGCACGGGTGCCTTGGCTTTAGCTTGTTCCCAGGTTGCTCTGCCCAGACCCTTTCTCACGTTCTCTTCTATCACTTCCTAAAATAAGCCACCTGCGTGCAGCCATCCAAGGCGCTGCTGCTGCTGAGGAACACCACGCTCACCAAAACCCTAGTTTGAAAAGGCTCTGTGATTTTTAAAGAGGGGACTTGAGCCTTTTCCTGCCTCAAGCTGGAGCAGCTGTATCCCACAGAGCAAGGAGGGGGAGACTGGAGACCTCAGAGGGCCACAGTGGCCCAGAACGTTCCAGGCTCTCCCTATGCCGGCAGCCCCTGCTCAGGCTCACGCAGCCGTGCACGGCTGTTCTGAGAACGAAGTATGTCTTGTCCAAAAGGAATTTAAGGTCCTTGGGGAGATGTTGGGCAAGAGAAGAAAAGCTAAAGAAATGAGGCTTGTTTAGCCTGGAGAAGAGTGAAGCAAATGCCTCGTAACTGGCTTCCTAAGAATCAGAGGCTGCTTCTCCGTGTTTGCTGATATCAGGAAGGAGGCACCCAAGCGGCGGTTTGCCCATCAGATGCTGCCACGGGAGAGATGGCAACTCTGGGCAAAGTGATGAGCTTCCTCATTCTGCTCATGATGGGTGGGCCAACTTATTGGGGATAATGTGGATGGGAATCACTCATTGTAGGAGTTTTAAAGGTTGTTCCTTCTCTAGTCCCCTCTTTAAAAATCACAGAGCCTTTTCAAACTAGGGTTTTGGTAGGATGGGTCTGCCTCAAAAGAGGGAATATTAATTGATCGGTAACCCTGTAAATCCCCCACACAAATGAATTGTATTTTAGTTCTGATATTTTTCCAGAGCAGGCCGTTTTCTCATGAGGTCTTGGCACCACCTAGTGGTTAATTTGTGCATTACACCATATGCCTGTGCTTAAAATCGTATTGCACCGTTTTTTTCATACAAACACCAACAAACTTGATTCATGCACCAACAAGTATACATTAAACACCAGTTATGAGGCAGGCACTGTGCTAGGACCTGAGGAACAACAGTGATCAAATAAGACACAGTCTCCCCTTCAGAAGCTCACAGCCTAATAGAATGGACAATAAACAAGTAACAACCAAAGCGTTGTGATCTGTTGTGATGTCATCAGGAAATAGACCCCTGGTGATAGAGAATAAGGTAGGCAGGAGCCCCTCTGGGAAACATAAAGTTA